CCTGTCTCGCAAATGTATGTATCTTACAAAAATAAGAGAAAGAATTAGTGCATTGATGTATTAAGAGCTATTATAAACTAAATGGGGCAAAGCACCAAAATCCCTATCAAGTATTAAAATGTATATAAGCTCTAAGTAAGGAATAAAGAACAAAAACAGTCAGTGAAATGTCTTGGGTTTGGGGTTCAAAGGACACATTGGGTAGGAGATTTAATCCAAGAGTTATTAACATCATGAAAAGACAACATGACAGGAGGGTTCCAAGAGAATTCTGACCCATGAAGCAGAGTAAGGGTACCTTCTTACAGGGCTTACGGGAAGAGGGAGATTCCATGCCATATGGTCAATGAGTAGTCAATAGGATGTGGCTTGTAATCAGGTTGAGTCTTATATTCCCAAGTAGCAGGGGAAGATGAGAATGCCTTGCATTGTGAAAAAAATGTGTGACTTGGAGGATGTGGGGAAATTGGTTTGAGGGACCCCTTAATTAATATGTATCCATCATACAGGATGCATCATTGGTATTCTCAGATAGACTGGAATCTGGTAGTGGAGCCTGTACATAGAATCAGTTATGAGGGCAGAGAGACACAACTACAAATGGGCATGACAAATGGGCCTGGGTTTTAACAATTCAAACTTTTTGTTTATATAAAGAAATGGCAAGACAATTTATGGGAAAAGAGATAGAGGGGAACGCTTTTGTGGGTACCAGGCAAAGTATTAATTTCTGACTTCCTCCCATTGGCATCAAGAGTATATAAATGATGCAATGCTAGAAGTCTGACAGGCATCCAAGTTGAAAACAGTTGGAACAGTGGAAACAAGTGGATCCCTGGAGCTTACTGGCCAATCAATCTAGTCAAACTGTTTAGAGACCTTGTCTCAAAAAACAGGGTAGGGGGCTAGAGAGATGGCTCAGCGGTTATGAGCACAGGTTGCTCTTCCTGGGGACCCACTTTTAATTCCCAGCATCCACATGGCAGCTCACAACTGTCTGTAACTCCAGCTCTAGAGGATCTGATGCTCTGTCCTTTTCCGGCACTTGCACTCATGTGGGCATACCCATGTAAACACAAACACACAACCACATATAACTGAAAATAATACAAATAAATCCTAAAAAAGGAAAAGGTAGAGAGGCTGGAGAGATGGCTCAGCAGTTAAGAGTATATATTGCTCTTTCAGAGGACCTAGGTTAAATTTCTAGCACCTACATGGTGACTCACAACCATGTGTAACTCCAGTCCCAGGGGATCCCATGCTCCCTTCCGGCCTTGACAGAAACACTGGGCACTGCAGCTTCACATGGCTCTGGAAGTTTCCTGAGTCTACAGCCTTCACTAAGGGCCCTCTTGATATCCAGGCTGCAATGTCTCCATCACCACTGCAATCTGCCCTGAATTCAGCACCATGAGCCTCAGGCCACACACTGAGAGCTGAGAAACTGGGCCAATTTTCCCATCGGATGGCCATAATGACCAGTATAAAGACCTCTCCACACTGGTTAGAAGAGATTAAACTGATCAAATGGACTCTCCCCAAATAAATGACTAAAATTAATACGGACATAAAGCAGACAACTAAGAGTATGCCTTTACTCATAATACAATCCAGAATAAAGTTGCAGACAGGGCAGTTCAGAACCTGTCTTCTAGCAGGATGATACAAATGCAGTCACTTCCTTAGCTCCTTACAAAACCGACTTCACATCATGCTGCCTGCTTTCCCAGAAGCACTCCTCACACCACTGCCATTCCAGTGATGGTTTTAACCCTCCATTTTAGACAAACAAAAGGCTTATTTGTTTTCATGTCCTAAATCCTGGTGGTTCTAAGTAACCCTTTCCCACCCAGCATATTCTGCCTGAGAAGCATGATCTCCACTTTGGAGTACCATAATCCCACAAGGCCAAATGCTTGCTGAACCCTAAGGATAATCACTGGCCCTCCTCTTAAAGGCAGCAGTGCTGGCTCCCTCTCTGACAGGGTGCCTGTCAGCTTTCTCCTCTGTGCACCTGCAATACACAGCTGCCCTATCCCCAGTGTTCAGTTATCCAGGCACTTGTGTGCCACCAGCAAGCCAGGAGTAATCTTGCAGCACCCTGAGCCTCAGCTGATATGGCTCAAAGCAGGGAGGCCAAAGATGACTGAAGTGTTTTGTTGCTGTTGATGGTGGTGTTTTGTTGTGCTGGGGGTGAAGAGGCAAGAGCTTTCTCCCTGAATTACATACCAACCCTAATTCTTAGTCTGATTTGGAGGAACCTATATTTATAAACCTCTCACTAGAGAGTACAGGAGAACAACAACAAACAACAGGAGAAAGGCCTCAGCCACTCCCACACTGCAGAGATGGGCCAATGCTTCTAAAGAAGGTCCTGCTGTATCTATCACAGTAGGGTATAAAAGCACTTTACCAAGGTCCTTCTGCTGAGCCAAGGCAATGAAACCCTTCCAGGGGCTCCTGATGAAAACAATGAAGAAAAAGAAAGCTCTGGCTCCAAACCCACATCCCTCCCATCAAATACCCCATTCTCACACAGCACCTAGGACAGTTCACTTACAGTTCTTGCCCTCACATTTGCTGAACTCCTCAAATACAAACCATGGGAAAGCACAAATGGGTTAACAGAAAAGTTGTGACCATTGCTGAGTGCCTGCCAACTGCCAGACATCCATGTCAAGGCACATGAAGAACATTTCTTAGTCACCTGCACAAAAAAATGTTTGCATGTAACTGACAATAGACTTAATGTATAACTTGAAGTCCATCTACATGGTATGGAAAGCTCCTGGGATGAAGACACCAGAGGCTGGCATTGAGTAATGTCTGAGACACTGCAAAGAGACAAAGAATGAAGTCACCTACAAGTCCCAAAATCTAAAACCAAGAACAGAAGGAATGTTCTGTGGAGACACTCCTCATAGACATCCCCAGGGTTCCTGTGTTGGGTTAATGGCAGATGATTTGATATAAATGCCTCCATGAATTTGAGTGTCTTTCCTGATCCTTCTCTATCCTCAGCACCCAAAAGTCTGCTATAGAGAAAAGGCTCTATAGCAGGAGCTGGAATGTACACCTCTTTAGTAAAGTCTTCCACACAGCAAGACAGAACACTGTCTATCCAAATATTCATCTGTTATAGGGCACTTAAATTTCTTTGCTAGCAACTGTGGGCCCTAAAAATGTAAGAACTCTAGGCTGGGTATGTAGTTTAGAGGTACAGTGCTAGCCTAGCAGAGAAGTACAAGGCCTGACCAGGTTTGATCCCCAGCACCAAACAAAACAAAAAAACAAAAAAACAAAAAACAAACAAACAAAAAAAAAAAACCATCCAAACTCACACATCATTATGCTACACTGCTGTGTGTTGTTTGAGTTACTGAAAAGCTGGCTTTGGAGGCAGGGCTGACAACTCCCATTTCTGACCCATGCTGGTCTCAAAGTCCAAGGTCTGGATGGGCTGGCTCCCATCAGCAAAATGGGGAACAGCAAAACAACCCAAGAGTGAAAACACTGTCCATGAGTGCAGCTAGAAGGTGAACCATTTCCAAGCGGTTACTATTATTTATCCCAGCATGTGAAAGTGCCTGCAGACGGGAGCAGAGGCTGGAAGCAGACACTGAAGAAAGCTCTTCTGGGAACTCCCACCGACTATCCCAACTTCCTCTGTCAGTTTTTGTTGGATCCAGCAATTGTCCAATTTGACATTCTCTCTGTTGCTATTTGTTTCTTTACTGAAAAACTTCGCCAAAGGAGCCACTCTTTTCTGCCAGCGACTCTCTTTACTGGAATCTCTACCCGGCTACCTTAAAGGGGCTTCCTAATAGATTCCTGCTGGATTTCTTTTTAAATATCCAATGTGATAAATTCTCTCTTAATAAACTCACTCATTTGAAAATGAAAATATGCCTATCATAGACCATTCTCGGGGCTATACAAAACATACTACTATTTTGCAGACAGTATAACGATTAGTGAAATTTTAACCTCACAACCTTTATGGGAGACAATTAAAACATAATAACAGCAGCCGGAGTTGGAAGCTGGAGGATGGGGAGTTCAAGGTCATCCTCCTTCACACTACCAGCTGGAGGCAGGTATCAACTAGGAGACCCAGTCTCAAAACAACACAATCCACATAACTTTACACAAGGCAGTCTATTGGAAATTTATGCTCGAAATGGGGTGCAAATAAGGTTATTCAACACGACGTTATTTGTAGTAATACGAGATTAGAAACTATTTCGATAAGGAAATAGTGACATAAATTATGAGACACCCATACAAAGAACTTCCCCAAAATGGTTAAAGACTGCAATGGAAATAGCTGAATAAAAAACATCTTTAAAGAGATGAGGCCGGTCGGTCGAGCTTTGTAGAAGAGCGCACCTGCCAGTTTCTCACTACCGCAATTGCTTTCAGCTCTCCGTCCCTAAAACACCTGCAACAGCATATCTGAGGGACTCCCATGGCTTCCTCGCCGTGGCTCACCTCCTGGACCCCACAGTCTGAGCGCGGCCAAGGCCAGTCGACCGCTCACCGCCATGATGCTCTGCAGGGAGCCGGCGCCTAGAGGGTCAAGTGTCATCCGAATCCCCGCCCCCGTGCGCCGAGCCGGGGCCGATACTCTTACCCCGCCCCCTCACGCCAAGTCCCGCCCCCAGCACCGGCACTCCGCCTCTCACGTGGTGCCCAGCCCAGCCGCCCCGCCCCCTCCCCCGCCCGTTAGCCCGAAGTGCCGAAGGGGATGTGTATGGCAGGTGCGGGGAGCTTCCCGCTCGGTGGGCTTATAGGTTGGGAAGCCAAACTCGGACGCTTCACTGTTTTACCCTGCGCTCGATCTTGTTGACCGGGTGGATGATAACTAATGAATGCTCTCTGAGCGCTTACTGCGGTCAGGAATTTGATCACCATCCCTGTTTGAGAGGACCCACATCTGAAGGCTGTCCCCAGGCACCTCTACTCTAACGCCTCAAGGGCAGGACCAAACACGCGGGAGAAGTTTGGCGGTAGCCAAGAACGCGGTTACCTTGACTACCGCGACTGGCGGGGCTACTGGGACGCTCCCGGCATGCCCCACGCGACGCGGTGCCGGAAGTGAGCGAGCACTTCCGTCCGCCATCCCTACCGGTGCTGACTACTTGGTGTTTCTGTTCCTAGCTCTGCAATCATGAAGGATGTGCCGGCCTTCTTACAGCAGAGCCAGAACTCCGGGCCGGGCCAGGCCGCCGTTTGGCACCGTTTGGAGGAGCTGTACACAAAGAAGTGAGCTCTGAGGCGTGGGCGGGAGGGAGAGGGCGCTGGGAGCGTCAGGAGGCTCTGAGCAGCCCCGAGGGTCAGGGATTTGGAAGAAAAGGGGCGACAGCCAAAGGAGCAGATCTGCTGCCAGCGTCCCGGGTCTAGACTCTCTGCTTTCCAGCCTTACCGGCTATGACAGACTGTTTTAGCTAAACTAAAGGGGGGGCCCGGGCTGGCCTGTGATGCTAGCTCTTAATTCAAACAAACAAACAGTTTTGAGGCTAGGGTGCCACCCGGTCTGAGACACAGGCCTAGTAACTTGTACTAAGCCGTGGTGTGATTGTCTACAGCCTGTAAATTCTTCATGATTCTACCACCTTTGGTTCGGCCCCCAGTGTTTCTGTTTTCTGTTATATTTCACAGTGGCCTTTTTGCCACTGGGAAGACCTTAGAGTTTGAGTTTGATTGGAAGCAGGATGAACTTCAGAACAATTACAACTTGATGACATTGATCTAGAGCTTTCCATGAAGAAACACCTTTCCTGCAGAACCTTTCCATCCGTGTGTTTTGATGGTGTTCAGCAGTTTTCTGCTATTAGTGTTTTCAAGAGAAGTTTTCAGTGTTGAGTATATAACTGCCTGTGCGGGGTAACATTTTGTAATCTTCAAAGCACTTTATCTGCACTATATAAGCCTTTAGTCTTGTGTGAAATGTGCTGCATCGGTGTCCAAAAGATTTATATATTAGCATGTTTTAAGTATTGGCTTATTTTATCTTTCCTTCATCCCATCCACGGATGAGGAGACTGGAGATCACTTTTCTATCCTTCCATGAGATATTCAGCTAATAAGTAAGAGAGCATGGAGTTCAAAATATAGTTATAGGATTGCAAAGTTTTTCCAGTTGACGCTCATAGCGAGGGTTGACGCATTCTCAGAAAATGTTCTCCATTGTTACCTCAGAAAACTGAGTCTTAGGATAAGTGACCAAGGGGTAGCAGAGTCAGGAAATGATGAACTTAAATCAGTTGGCACTTGCTTTAACTACTTATCGTCCTGTGCAGTAGGACATAACTAGTACTTGATGCTTGGTGGAACCATCACATCTGAAGGCATCTGAAGACTTTTTGTTTTTTAGGTTGTGGCATCAGCTCACACTTCAGGTGCTTGATTTTGTGCAGGACCCGTGCTTTGCCCAAGGAGATGGTCTCATTAAGGTAATGACTTAACATACTGGGTCAGATTATGTTGGATATACTCATAAACTTTTTTTTATTTTTAATGTATGTGTATCAGAGAGAGTGTATTCATGCTGCACGTGTGTGCACTACATGCTTGTTGATGCCAGAGGAGGCCAGAAGAAATCTCCTGGATCTGGAGTTGCAGGCAGTGTGAGCCAACTGGTATAGGCACCACAAATGCAAATTGAGTTCTCAAAATGCTCATAACTATCTCTGAGCCATCTTTCCAGCCCCTGCTGTCAGTTTGTTTGTTTGTTTGTTTGTTTGTTTATGATAGACTCTGACTGGCCTGGAACTTGCTGTGTAGACCAGGCTGGGATCATCAAATTCACAGTTCTTCACCTTGGCCTACCAAATACTGACATTAATGGCACGCTTTGCCATGCTCAGCTCTGCTCATGAACTTAGAAAAAAGATGGTCTTTATGGTGGTCACAGTAAGCTGCATCTTAACAGTCACTTTGTGTTAAAGACAGTTGTAAGCATTATCATGAAAGCACTGGGAAAGTATTTTTATCTCTCTCTTTTTAATGTAATAGCAGACATAGATGAATCACCATAGGTTACAGCTAATAAATCACAAAATTGAAACAGATGTTCTGATTTCTAAAAATTTAGACTAGAACTGGGAACATGGCTCAATGGAAGTGTATGTTTAACATTCACAAGACTCTCTGAGCCTTACATAACACCACAGAAAACAAACAAGCAAAAACAACCCTGGACAGTGGTATATCTGTAATCCCGGCACTTAGAAACTTGAGGCTGAAAGATCATTAGTTCAAAATTAGGCTGGGTTACACAGCATGATTAGTAAGGAAAGGGACCATTCCAGCAGCTCTCTTCACTTCCCAGCTCTCCAGCTCATATGTGCACACTTGGTTTCACCTCTTAGAGATTTCCTTCCAGAGTAGTATAGAAAAAAATGTCTCTTCAGCTGATGATGAGAGAGTTGGAGAGGGTACTGCATAATATACTGTCTCTATAATAGAGCACTTTTATAATTATATAGCAGAAAAAAATAGAAATACACACTTTCCCATGCTGCATCAGATTCCCTGAGGACTGACTATCCTTGAATTTTCTCACCAGGCCTCTTTTCTGAAATCTTTCCTGTCATCTGATTTTAAAGGGGATACTTGGCATGTAATTGTAGCTTGAGTTATTTCTCCTGAATACCTTATAATACACACAATGACACTTACCACTAACTACCTCACCTCCTAGGGTTTTAAGATTTTTCTTGTGGATTTTACTTATTGGTTTGACATTTTACCACCCTTAAGAATTTGCAGTCATTTGTAAGCCTAAAGATTTTGCTGGGCATTCTGTCTTCCAGATCATGTAGAAAAATGATAAATCAGATAGATTGCATGTTCTATATCACAATGATACATAGTTTATATTTATCCTTTTCTTTCTAATCTTCAGCTGATATGTGCTCCCTTCTTTGTTTCTTTTTGAAGAGGTTTTTATGTGTGAGAATGTTTGGCCTTCATGTGTGTACATATACCATGGGCATGCTTGGTGCCCTCAGAGGTTAGAAGAGGACATCAGATTTCCTGGAATAGGTGTTACAGATGGTTGTGAGCCATAATGTGGGTGATGAGAGCTGAACCCGAGTTCTCTTCAATTGCAACACATGCTCTTAACCACTTAGCCATCTCTCCAGTCCCTTCCTATGTTTTTTAAACTAAGAATATTGTCATTCATTTGTTCTGTCTTCTCCAGGAGCATTTTGGAAGCTCAGTGATTGCCACACATAGTGTGTCTGTAGTACAGCCTAGTATCTGAGGAAGTCTCATATGTGCTGAGTGACTAAGAAATTTGGTAATGCAGCCTATGGAAGGCCTATAACCTTCTGAAATCTGAACAAACTCTATTCTCTTTGATTAGGAGCACTTCACCCTGATCCAGCTGTTGTACTTGAAGCACCTTGGGGGAAGAATATAGGAATTGATATTTAGGAGGGTTTTTCTTATTTATTTATTTATTTATTTATTTATTTATTTTATGTAACTGAGTGCTTTGTCTGCATGTATGACTTTATGCCAGAAGAGGGCATCATATCCCATTATAGATGGTTGTGAGCCACCATGTGGTTGCTGGGAATTGAACTCAGGACATCTGGGCAAGCAGCCAATCTCTTACCCGACAAGCCATCTCTCTCCAATCCCCTATTGATTGATTGGTTGGTTGGTTGATTGATTGATTTTTTTTTTTTTTCAGACAGAGTATGTGTAGCTCGGGGTGACCTGGAACTATCTCTGTAGATTAGGCTGGTCTCAAAACCTTAGAGATCCTCCTGCCTCTGCCTCCCGAGTGCTGGGATTAAAGGTGTGTGCCACCACCACCTGGCTGTTTAGGAGACTTCTGGCCAGTATTCTGTGTCTTAAAGCTAGGAACTCTAGTTTTTTTCAATAATCCATTGGTGATCATTTATATAGACTCAATAGCCCTGATACGGTTCTCCCATCATTCAGCAGAGATTTTAGGCAGCGCTTTCTATGTGGCAGGCATTGTGGTTTGCACACTCACACTTGATAGTCTTAGTGGTGCAACTCTAACCAGAAGCAGTTTTAGAGTCTGATTTCACAGAGTGATGCTCATTCTTTACTAATTCTCCGTCTTTGGCTTTGCAGCTTTATGAAAACTTCATCAGTGAATTTGAACACAGGTAATCCCCTTTTGTCAGTTTTGACTTTGAAAATGAATACATTAGTGTTTTTTAACACTCAAAAACTGATGGTTTTTATTTCAGGGTGAACCCTTTGTCCCTGGTAGAAATTATTCTTCATGTGGTTAGACAGATGACCGGTAAGCCTCTGTTTCATTATAGAAAATACCAAATTGGCCAGATTTTAGTGATGCCTACAGATGACACCAGCACCGGGTGAAACAATGATCACAACCTGAGATACATAGTCCCAGGCCAGCCTCGGGTGCATTGTGAAATTTTTGTCATAAACAGAGAAATGTTATTGTTTATCTTGCCTAAAGATGTCTTAGCTGGGTTTGACTCTGTTCTTGTTTCTATTTTAGATCCTAATGTGGCTCTTACTTTTCTGGAAAAGACTCGTGAAAAGGTAAATGTGAAGTTTGAAAAGCATTTTCTGTTATATATGTGTTTTATAATTTATGCCTACCCTGTAGAAGTCATCTTTCTGGTCTCAAGGTCAAATCCATCCCCAAGGAACAGCTCAATTTGCAAGTTTGCTGCTTAACTTTCTGAGATCTCTGCGCATCCCCCCCCCCTTTTAATCTCTTCAGGTAAAAAGTAGTGATGAAGCAGTGATCTTGTGTAAAACGGCTATCGGAGCTCTAAAATTAAACATCGGGGATCTACAGGCTACAAAGGTGAGAGCACAATAATACATGTATTCTTCCTCTTTGACTGTCTCTTTAAAATAAGTTACAGGGGGGGCAAAGAATTTTCATATTGTAGCCTAGATTTCCCCATTGTTCACTTATTGCCACCTTTGTTTTACATATTCTACGCCTCTGTTCTGTTGTTTGTTTTGTTTGGTTAGTTTTGCTTTTGTTTTCCCATTTAAAGTTGTTGCTGGTAAGACATTTACTCTTAAACAAAGAGCATTCCCTGTATGACCACAGCTGTCAGGAATCAGGACCTTTGTGGTCTCAGATGTACAAAGCCTTTGGGCTTTCATCATGACAGGCGATATGTTTCTCTTTCTTGCTCTTGAGTTGTTGAAGTTTCCTGTCTATATTTATGCCTTTAGAAAGAGTTTTGTTTTTATGTGTTTGGGTGTTTGCCTGCATTAATATCTGTGCACCACATGCGTGCAGTGCGCACCACTTGCATGCAGTGCCTGTGGAGGCCTGAAGAGGGTGCTGCATCCTCTGGAGCTGGAATTATAGCCAGATGTGAGCTCTCATGTGGGTGCCAGGTCCTCTGCAAGAACAACAAGCACTCTTAATGCTAGGCTATCTCTTCAGCCCTATTTGTGCCTTTTGTAGTTTTTGTCCAGTTTGGAAGACCGGCAAAAATAGAGGTAGCAGTGAGAAAACTTATCTTGTTAATCTAGAGACTGCAAGTACTTTTGTTTTGGTTTAATTTTGGTAACCATAATGTTAAAAAAAATAGTAGAAGTAATAGTTGAATGTGTTTTATGTTTTCATTGGCCTAAAAAGTGCTTATTGCTTCGTAGTTGCAGATCACATGCATCCTAATTACATTTTGTTTTGAGGTATTTAAGACACATTGAAAGCTATGCCACAATGAGGAATGCTATGATGGGCACCCTTAAACTTCACCCAGTTCAGGAGTGGAATAGCATACAGGCAGACCATATGTCCACAGTCTGTGCTAGTCCTCCAACAGGCCCATCTCACCCCATGTGCACTAGTTACTGTTCTTGTTGCTATGACCACATAATTGACAAGGCGAAACTTATGGGATAGTTCATCTTGTCTTATGGTTTGAGGGCTACAGTACATTGTAGCAGGGAAGGCTTGGCAGCAGGGAACAAGAAATGATGGTAGCCAGGCAGTGGTAGCACAAGCCTTTAATCCCAGCACTTGGGAAGCAGAGAGGCAGGTGGATCTAAGTTTGAGGCCAGCCTGGCCTACAAACCAAGTCCCAGGACAGCCAGAGTTGTTACACAGAGAAACCCTGTCTCAAAAAAAAAAAAAAAAAAAGAAAAGAAAAGAAAAAAAAAAAAAAGTGATTGGTTACATGGAGTCTGCAGTCGGGAAACAGAGAGATGTTGGTGCTTGGCAATTTCTTCATTTTTTCCTAGACCCCTGCACTTAGGATGCTGCCCACATTTAAGGTGATTAAACCATCACTGGAGATACATTAAATATCTTAGTCTGCCCTGGCCAGGTTTATGAGTTAGTATGTAGGCCGTTCATTTTTTACCCTTGTGTAGAATCCCACTATGTACATGTTTTGCCATGTATATATCTGTTCTCCTATAAAGGGATTTAGGCCATTTATTGTATTACAAATGCTATTCATGTTAGCATTTCTGTGTCTGATCTCATTGTGCTTGGGTAATCCCCTGGTGTATGTCTGAAGGTTGTTGTAAAACAAAAACTTACAGGCACCTCTGAAACTCCATTTGCAGCCTTTGCTATTTGCATGCTATTTAATTCTTCATGACCCAGTGAAGGTCAAGTGGTAGTGGTTTAATTTTGCATTTCTCAGATGCTGGTGGGTTACTAGCAACCGCACTCAACGTCTCTACTTCTGTTAATTGCCTATTACTGTCTTTTGCTGTTTTTCTACTGTGTCTTTCATATTTTCTTGCGCATTAACGCTATAGGAACTAGAGTTCATCCTTTTGACAGTCTACAGCTTTTTATTTTCTTCCGTGTTTTTGGATGAACCAAAGTTTTTCGTTGTAGTGTAGTCAGTCTAACTAATGTTATTAATCTTTGCCCTAGTAGCTTAGACTTTTTATTTTTGTATTACTTTAAAGATCTTTTAAGCTAGAAGGCGATTTTACTTCTTGTGTGTAGGAAACCATTGAAGATGTTGAAGAGATGCTCAACAATCTCCCTGGTGTGACATCAGTTCATAGTCGTTTCTATGATCTCTCCAGTAAATACTATCAAACAATCGGAAACCACGCATCCTATTATAAAGACGCTCTGCGGTTTCTGGGCTGTGTTGACATTAAGGATCTGCCAGGTACACAGGGCCCTCACAATTCTCGGCACTCAGGGAGTCTGTGACTGAGCATACCAGCTATGAGGTGCAAACGGGAGGTCTTAGCTCTGTCAGGGGCTCATCACTTTTAAAGTGAAAGCTTTGTGTATATTTTAGATTTTACATCATGTTTGTCTCTGGTGTTGATTCAAATCCCATGTGAGCTCATCCTTCCCAGTCCCTTCACTCTCCTCTAGGTCAATATCAGTCCAAATTAGCAACTAAGTCAGGTTCTATAGGCATTGTAGTAATAATGCCTCTCGAACCCTCTACAGGATGAAGGGCAAGTGTAATCCCCATAGCTGAGATCTTTGCTCTATAAATAGTTCGTTACAGAGTCTTTGTAGAATCTGAGAATGGAAGGAAAAGTAGCAGAGAGTTTTGGTGAAAATAAAAGAAGAGTGTGTTTGAAAGAAATTTTCAGCATTTTCTTGAATGTGCTGTTAGTGATAGGGAGATTGGCAACTCCTAAAAATGCTGATAAAGCTTTGATTGCTGTATCTCAACAGAAATACATTAGGGAAGCAATACTGTGACTAAGAAAAGAGAAAGCAGACTGTTCTAGTCTAAAGAGCTGCAGACTATTATAACAATGAGGCAGTTGAGTGGCAGGGGTAGGGCCAAAGGATCTTATTACTCTAGTAAGTACTACAAGCTGAAGGGTAAATAGATCACACATCTCTATGGAGTAAACTTTAAACAAGTGGTATTTCCACAAAATTCACATACACATGGTTCCTGGTATAACTTGAATTATTCCAGCACTTTTGAAGAGGTAGCTTATACTGAGGTTTGGAACTAGAAGCATTCTGGTAATGGTTTCTGTACTTGGTTATGTGAGTTTTATAATGCCAAATGAGGGGATATATGACTAGCTGTGTCATTTTGTAGTGTCAGAGCAACAGGAGAGAGCCTTCACATTGGGGCTTGCTGGACTTCTTGGCGAGGGTGTTTTTAACTTCGGAGAGCTTGTAAGTTGGCCTGGCACTGATTCCATAACAGATTGGGGAAGAGAAAGTGTTATTTTGTGCCGGCTTACTGTCTCTGTCCCCACAGCTTATGCATCCTGTGCTGGAGTCACTGAGGAGCACTGACCGGCAGTGGCTGATCGACACTCTATATGCTTTCAATAGTGGTGATGTAGATAGATTCCAGACCCTGAAGTCTGCCTGGGGCCAGCAGGTAGGTTTTATGTACTGTGTGTCTACTCTTCCAACAGAATTCACTAAGCCTCTTCCCTTCATACACCAGGTTCCAGGAAGGATCTAGCATAGCCAAGACATTGGCAGGCTAGGCTTGATCTCCCAGAAACAGGGCATTAGAGGTCTGGGTCACGCATAAAAGGCACAGTTGTGGTCCTCCATCTGTGCTGGGTAAGGTACATCATAGGCCTCCCAAGGGAAGTGGTGTCTGTGTGACCTAAATGAGTGAAGAGGTGCAGGGGGAACAGAGGAAAAGGAAGCTCAGCACATTTGTTGAACTGAAAAGTATGTGAATAACATGAGTAGGCAGGCCCCAGGGGCACAGTGTAGCAAGGAGAACAGAGCAGGGACAGGCACTGAATAAAGAGGCCAAGATACGTAGTAGTAATTAGCCAAAGGTGCTTAACAGTAAGTCAAACCTTTTTTATTTATTTTGCGTTTTTCTTATTCATTCATGTATTGTGGGGTGTGCATTCATACATGTTTGTGAATGTTCACTTATTTGTACAAATGCTTGTTGGGCACAAAGTTGATATCAGGAGTTTTTTTCAGACACGGTCCACCTTATTCGTTGAAGTAAGATGTGGTTGGAATTTTCTTTGGGCTGCCAGCCATCACCCAAATAAAGACACTGAGATTTATTATTAATTATGAATGCTTGCCTTAGCATGAGCTTGTCCCACTAGCTCTTTTAACTTGATTGAACGTGTTTCTATTATTTTATATTTTACCTCAGGGCTTTTTGCCTTTCTTTCATTCTATATGTTCCACTTTTCCTGCTTCCTCTGTCTATCTGGTTGAAACCTGGTGTCTCCCTATCGTCTCCCTGGTGTCTCTCTTTCTTCTGAACATAAATTCCTCCTCCTACTTACTCTCCCTGCCCGGAAATCCTGCCTATACCTCCTCCCTCATTGTTGGCCATTCAGCTTTTTATTAGATCAATCAGGTGCCTTAGACAGGCAAGGTAAAACAGCAACACATCTTTACATAGTTAAACAAATATTCCTCATCATAAACAAATGCAACACATCTTTACATAGTCTCGCTAGCCAGTTTATTCTGGAGAGCCCCTGTCTTGGCCTGTGCAGGCTGGAGTTACAGGTGAGCAGCCATGCCACCTGGTGGCCACCTGACATTTACTTGGATTCTGGAAGTGAGTTTTCTTGTTCATAATAACAGACACTCTAATCTCTGAGGCTTCTCCCATTCATTCTTTTGAATGAAATTACTAGAAGTAAATATTTCTAAAATATTGAGTGTGGTTGGAATTACAGTTATGTTGTTGTACTTTCCTGAAACTTTGGGTTTTCTAATGTTTAATAAAAAATGTATCAAATATCTATGTAATAGAGTGGAGTGGCTATGAATGAAGGGACTTTGAGGAGACAGAAAGCATCAGGTCCAGCAAGACTTCTCTATAGTCTGATTGTGGACTGACATGTCAGCAGTGGAGCCAGGCACTGTGGTTCATGCCTCTAATCCCAGCTGAGTCAGAGGATCACTTGAGACTAGGAGGTGAAGACCAGCCTAAGCAACATAATGAGACCCCTCCTCCCCATCTCAAAAAAAGAAAGGATAACAGCCATGGTGGCGTACGCCTTTACTCTCAGCACTTGGGAGGCAGAGGCAGGAAGATCTTTGTGAGTTCAAGGCCAGCCTGGTCTGCAGAGTGAGTTCTAGGATAGCCAAGGCTATACAGAGAAAATCTGTCTCAAACTCCCCCTCCCCCAAAAATTATAAGAAGAAAAAAGATTCAGGGATGCATACAAAAATGTCCCTACTGGGACCTCGCTTGGTTGAATACGACCTGTTTTTGTTTTTATTCTGAGACATTGTCTCCCCAAATTGTCCTGGTTTGTCTTGAACTCCTAGGCTCAAATAATCCTCTTGCCTCAGATCCAGAGTGCTGAAACCACAGGTATGAGGTCCTGCCAGCTGCAGACTTGCAAAAGGATGTGTTTTAGTTCTCACCATAGTAAGGTTTTCTGTTGTAAGTTATTCACTGGCTCTTTTAACTCAGGCCTTCCGTACTTTCAGCAGACTTGGCTGGTGGTGCCTCCACCAGGAGTCTTGAGGTTCCCGTTCCCACTCCTGTCTTGGGAGACAGCCTATGAGTTGGTTCCTTCTTTAAATTCTCTAAGACAAAAGGATTTAGTATCACTTGGAGCAGTCAGTAAGCCTCAGCTACCCACAATGTAAAATGCTTGGGCTTGATCCATAGTAGAGTTCCAGAACCCATGTTTCTGTCTTTCTGTACTTCCCAGCCTGACTTAGCAGCCAACGAGACCCAACTTCTGAGGAAGATCCAATTGCTGTGCCTTATGGAGGTAAGAAGCATCCAGAATCCTGTCCGTAATACTTGACAGTGCTCACAAGGTAGCTAGGCCTTTGAGCTTGCCCTGCCTCTCCTGAGAAGTTCCCTCCTCGTGGCCCACTCTTACCTGTGTCTTCCTTTTGCCTTTGCTCATTTAAATTTGAATTTGGATCTGATGACTTTTTTCGTATGTTTATTCTTTTGTGGGAGAGTGTGGTCACAGAAAACTAACCAGACTCACTTCTCTCCTTCTGAGGATGAAAGGCATTGTGGGTTGACACAGTGCCTTTACCCACTGAATCATCTCCCTGGCCTCTTAGACAGGCTCCCTTAGAATCTTCATAAGTTGTCCTTGTCCGTTGAACCTGAAGCTACTGTCTCTTCCTGCCACTTGTGACACACCCTTTCTGTCCCTGTACTTTTCTGTTTTCTCTAGTAGAATGTGAGCTTCTGGAAGAATTGCACAAGGGACTTGGCCTCAACTACCTGGTCAAGGAATGCATATTTGTTATTGTCAGAGATTCCTTTAAAGTTTGTTTTGTCCTTTAACTTTCACTGAACATTGAAAACTTGTTTAGTGAATGCTAGGTTAGGAAATCTTCTGTACTTGAATATGGGGCTAAAAAGATAATTTATATTTTCAGAGCAATTTTTTTGGGTTTTTGTTGTTTTTTGTTTGTTTGTTTGTTTTGTTTTGTTTTGTTTGATTTAAAGACAGGCAATCACTATATCGCTCTGATCCCATCCTGGAATTTGCTATGTAGACCAGGCTGGTCTCAACTCATAGAGATCTACCCATCTGAGAGTACTGGGATTAAAGGCAGATGCAACCATGACCACAAAACAACTTTGAACTTTTGACCAAAACATTCTTTAAAAAAAATTCTCTGACCACTTTTGCTTAGAAAAATAGTTTTGTTTTTCAGATGACTTTCACACGACCTGCCAACCACAGACAACTCACTTTTGAAGAAATTGCCAAAAGTGCCAAAATCACTGTGAACAAGGTATAGTTCTTGGACTTAGGGTACCACAGCAGCAGAGCTACCCCACCCCTGGCAGAAATCTGTGCTCCCAGCACATCTCATACAAGCCCCTTTGCCCAGGTGGAGTTGCTGGTGATGAAGGCACTCTCAGTGGGGCTGGTGAGAGGCAGTATAGACGAGGTGGACAAGCGGGTTCATATGACCTGGGTGCAGCCTCGCGTGTTGGATTTGCAGCAGGTAAGGGGACTGAGCTCCTGCCCACCTTTGTGGACTTGGGTTATACCAGTGCTGTCCTAGTTTTATGTGGGTAGAAGTCATTTAGGAAGAAGACAGTATTCTACACATTCTACACAGGTATCACAGATGGGGTTACTGCTGTAGAGACCTAGGTAATGCACACCTGAGGTCTGAACCCTGCATTTAGAGGCTTACTGTGACAACCGTGCTGGCTGTGCTGGTGATGCCTTCTAATCTTAAAATTGGTACTCTGATCAGACATGTTCCTGGTTTTGTGACTTAATCCCATATCCCTACTCATATTTTCTAGACGTTTAATCCTGTGATTTCCTCCATTCTTTTTCTTTCATGTGAGTTTTTAAAATGTTTTTGTGATAAGAATTGGCACGGTGAGTCTGTCATACACCTCCACCTTCAGCTCTATTGCCCTTAGCATTTCCCTGAGAAAGAACTAGAGATTAGCACTACCACATAGGAGCCTGTGGCTCCGTTTAGCCTGATACCCATGTGATGTGGTTTGTCTTTAGATCAGAGGGATGAAGGACCGTCTGGAGCTGTGGTGCACTGATGTGAAGAGCATGGAGATGCTGGTGGAACACCAGGCTCAGGACATCCTCACCTAGTGCCCCATGTCCTGCAGACCCTGTCTCCCCTGAAATCATCAGCACGGATCTGTGTTGAATTGGGATGGAGTTTGGGATCCTACTAAGATTAGGAACTGTTCTTGCTATAAAAGCAGAGATCTTTCATTGATCAGGGTTTGATTACTTGGAGAAGGCTCCTGTATTGGATGTTTTGTAGCCTGCAAGGGGAGGAAGGGGGACTCCTGGCCTAGGTGATGAGGAAGGGCAAGAATGGGAATGGGGACAGAGTAATCTCCACCCAAGTGGACCTTTTCCAACATTGTCGGAGAATGCTCCTATAATAAATGCCTTTGCTTTGGTCTGCTGATGCTTCTGTTCTTGGACTTAGGTTCTTGGGCAGTTCTATGCCTGAAGAAAGGAACACTTAAGCTGGAAGCCAGTGGGTTGGTGGGGATTAGTCTCACTCCTCCCCTACCACCACGCACAGAGTTGCCACCACGGAAGTTTGTCCTACATTTTCGGACAAGGAGGCATTCATTCCCTTTTGCAGCCCTTTTCCGTGTTTTCTCAGACACAGGCATCCACACTTGCCACCTAGCGACACTGGGATAGTTGGTGGGTATTAAGCAGCAAATGCAAGAATCAACACAAGCAGTGGTAGACGGAAGAGTTTAATCTTTCATGACTGTGCCACTTTATGCTGTGGAGCTTTTTTTATAGCTCTCCAAGTGGGATAAGACCCATCCTGCAGGAACCAGGAATCCAGTGAATATGACCACGATCCCCACAGCCTGCTCCTGTGGAAAGTTAAGCAAACATGAGTCCACTGGCCATTAGAAGTCTTGGGCCTGGCCACTGGGCAGGGAACCTTCCCTGTCCTTGGAGTCCTGCACCATGAGGCTTCTGCATCTGCTAAAAGTGTCCCTGTGACTAGAGATGTCTGCCCTTGCTTCTCTTTCCCTAGGTTGGCCAGCCATAGTCCCCATTTGCCTTCTGCTTCTCTAGGCCGTTTTGTGAGCAAGCAGGCTCTGCTGTATCAGTGTGCTTGGCAGCCTCAAGTCCTTGCTGGGGAGAATGAACTTAGAAACCAGGAGAAACAGCCTTGGGCTTCAAAGCCCAAGATCCTGCCTAACTATAGCAGTTGCCAGCAAGGCAAAGGTTCACGTGGCTCCAATGCTCACAGCATATATTCAGGGTGCTCTACAGAATAGTAGAACAATTAAGGTTTTCATTGTTATAAACAAACACAGGGCCTTTCTCTTAAAGCAGTCCCATTCAAAAGCCAAGCTGGGTGAAGTCAGACACCTGCCCTGCGTGGGTGTCTACTGTGTGCAGTAGTGACTCCTTTTGGAGCCCTTTGTTCTCAGTAACTTTACTAAGATTCTGGGACATCAACTGCATGGCACCAAGTTTCCCCATGAGACAAGGCCTGGGTTCTGAATTTGAGCAAATTTGGCATAGACTAGGAATCTGGGTCTGGACTACGACATAGCCGTATGTCTGTGACTGAATGGCCTGGCTCTTAGATATAGACACCTCATATCTCAGACTCCACTGGGTATGCTACTATTTAGTTATATTCTCAGAGCAGCGTACCTTTCCCCAAAACAGTGAAATATGCATCCCTGCATCTCTCTTGAGTCCTATGCCCCTAATTCTGTCTTGTTGACCTTGGCCAGAAGTATGTAAGGCCCAAGGATGTCCGCACCCCACCGTTTGTAGCCCTTTGCAATGCTGGCCACAAGCGGTGGTTCCAGAGCCCCCTTAACATTCAGGCGCTACCTTGGCATAAAGCACTGATATCTAGCACTGTGTTCACCTCTCTTTTACCACTTTAATCTTCCCTGTTGCCCTGAAACCCAGGAAATGCTACCTCAGAAGTTACTCACCATAGCAGAAGTGGGGGTTTGGGCTGTCTTGGCAGAGATGTGGGCTTTGGGAACCACTATATACTTCACAGGAGCTTGGAGCAGCTGCAAGACAGGGGGGAGCCTTGGCATGATTCTCAGGCGGCGTCCCTTCCTTGGCCCTGAAGAGGTACCCTGGGTGTCCGCTGCACGTCCTCTACTCACTTAGGCAGTTAGGGCTTTTTATAGCTGGACTGGGGAACTGCAGCTGTCTCCTGTCACAAGACTTGGCAGAAAGGATGCCTACTGGTGTCTGGGAGAAAACCAGTCTGCCCTGTGAGCCCCTCAAAGTGTAGGTATGGGACATGGGCCCTAATGAACAAGACTGACCTCTGCAGAAAAAGACCTTAGTGAGATAGGTCCAGGAAAGTCAAGCTTAAAATACAAGAGATGTGGCATACATCAAAAGTAAACCTTAAATCTTGGGATCTCAGCAGGTCATGGGGGTGCAAACCTTTAATCCCAGCATTTGGGAAGCAGAGTAAAGCAGATTTCTATGAGTTCAAGACTAGCCTGATCTATAGAGCGAGTTCCAGAGCTACACAGAGAAACTCTGTCTCAAAACAAAGCAACAGCAAAAAAAATCTTGGGCTGTCAGCCAAACAGTAACATAGAGAACCTGCTTTGAAATTCTATGACATGGTTCCTGAGTGAGTGACTGGCCTTCCCATTCTCACGTGGTACACTGCCAGTAGCCCTTGTCTTGAGTCTACTCATTGTAGGTGGAGGCACCGCTGGGGAGTTTGTACAGGGAGTCATATACCTCTGCATGGTAAATGGCCTCACAGTTGTGCTGCAAAGGAACAAAAGTAGAACATAGAGCAGGCACTTTCTGAGTGCCAGCTGTGAGCAGGAGCCATGTCTGTCCCAGTGGAGGCACCAGGCTGGTGAGCTCTTGGCACTTTGGCCTGTCTGCAGATAGTGTGCTGTCCATTTCTCCCCAGACTTGCATCAGTGCCATTTTGTCCTGCTCCCTGTCACCCTCCTCCTAATGCAGACCTCACTCCTCTTCCCATGTGCTCATCTGTTCCGTCCCCAGGCAGTATCCGCCCCCTGTTACCCCATCTGACTCCTGCCAGCACCATCTCAGCCTTGCATTGCTTGGTTGCTGGTTTTCCTCCCTCCTCATTCAGTCCCTTCCTGACCTCTGATTAACCCTAAGCTCTTCAGATCTCTGTCTGATCTTTTCAGACCTCCCCTGGCCCTGAACCAGTCTGCCTTAGCACTACCAGCTTCTCAGTCATGATCTGGGATGGATTAACCTCTGATGGCTCTTCCCACCTCAGGGCCAAGTTCTGTGGCCATCAAGTGTTTCTTCCCCTGCCACAGCCTCTTCCCTCTGGAGTTCACACTCCACTTCCAGCCCACCAGTAAGACCACACCCAAGGGAGATCAACTCCCCATCTTCCCAAGGTCTAACCTCAAACGTCTCTATTTTGGCCTCTCTATACATTATCTCAGACAATCCTTGTAAAGCAGTCATCATTACTGCCTACACTGTACATTCTGCTACAGGCTCCATGCATTACCTCCTCCACAGCCCCCCCAGGCCCAAGTGATGTACACAACACTGTCAACACACACCAGTGCCTTCTACTGGATGCCCTTTCCCTTCTGTTCTCTCATGTCTGTTTGGGTCACGAGGCTTTGTTCACATGGCATCTGAAATGTGTCTTGCTCTACTCTATGTTCCTCTGACTAGGGCAGAAGTATGAGGGTAAGAACTCTGTTCTCTACAGACTTTAGAACCTAGAGCAGTTTCTGGCTTAGCAGATTTGTTCGGCCAGTGTTAGGCAGTGGGGATGGATGGTGAGTAGACTGGCAGTTATTTGGGCAAGGAAATGATTCACCAAACACTGAGCCAAATGGGGGATACAAAGTTGAGTCATCTGGGAAAATGTTCCATTATCAAAAGGTCCAGGTTATTGTCATGGCTGATAAAGACCACGGCTCAGTGGCTTCCTTGGTTGCTTTGAGACAATATTGGTGTGAGCTCAAGCCCAAGATAGGACATGTGGTCACTGAGCATTCAGCTTCATCTTTGGCCATTGTCTGCACCCCTAGAGTGGCCTTGGTCACAATCCTTGCTGGAGACAAGTCTGCCCTTATTTTCTTGGAATGGTGATCATGTGAATCTATTTCACTAGGAACTTTATCTTTATTCTCTTCCTGGAAACCACATTTGCTGTGTACATGGGACTGCTCCTTAAGCTCCACCTACCCTGTAGGCCCAGCCCAGTCCAGCAAGAAGCCAAGTCCAAGGAGGTCAGAGGGTGGGGAGGTGTCCTGAATATTATTTCCACTAGCACTGGGCTCTAGATTCCAGCCTCAGGCTGGGGGGGGGCTCCTCCTCCCCTCTGGAGTAATCCCTTCCGCCTAAACCTTTAATTATAACCTTGGGGTCCAGTCTTGGATAAGCAATTTGTTCAGAGGCTCACTCTGCCAGTGATATTTCTTCTTTTACAAATAAGGCCTGTCCCGAACCTGTCACAGGTCAGCTTCTCAAAGAGGTCCCCATCTCTGCTCTTTGGGACCTGGGCCATTTTCTGGCTGGCCATTGGCAGGACCCTCCTCAGCTCTCAAGACTGCCCTCGACCTGCATTGTGACACCCTTCTCAGAATGACTCCAAGTTCTGTTAGCAGTGTCGAGACAAGTGAACCTCTCCTGCTTCAGATCTTTCTGATTTTTTTTTAAAAAGAAGTTTTAGACTTGCAGAAAAGTTGTAAAGATAGGGCAGAGTGTTTCCATGTGACCCAGGCTTTGCCCATTACTTACACAGTGGTAGGTGCAAGGTCCAGGCCTTGATGTATGACCCTACAAAAGCACCTCAAACTCCATAGGAGGGAGAGAAACCTGCCCTCCACAGCTTCAGGCTTCCCAGCATCTCTTAGCCTAGCCATGGTGGATGAGGCCTCAATGAGGGCAGGGTTAGAGCAGGTAGGTAATGTAAGGCGTTAACAATCAAGATTGTTCACAGGCCCTGGGGGGGCCACACCAGCCCTCCACTCCCTTCCCACACTGTTCCCAGACTTTCTGACCTTCCAGAACTTCCCAGGCACATGCAATTCTTTATTCCTCCACTGAAGTGGTCTCTATCTTGCTGCTCCAGTAGAAAGTGGTTGCCCCTCCTCTCTTGTCTGCCTTTTACTTAAAGGAAGCTGTTACCAGGAGAAGATGAAGACGGCCAAGAGCAGTATAGGATAGAGTTGAGGGCTGGGTGAAGCAGCCAAGACAACTGAGCCATTGAGAAGTCTCAGTGCAGGCCAGCCTACCCTAGCTCGGCCTGAAAATGAGTGCCTCTCTCTAGGTGTCTGGTGGACAAGCTGCCCGTCTCAAGTCTTCAGTCAGCATTCAAACATACAACTTATGCATGTGGCACTGCCCTGGCCTTGTCCTTAATGCTCAGAAGTGTGAGAGGACCTACAGCCTGAATACCCTGTAAAAACTGAAGGTCACCTC